TTTCCAGACCAGTCACTCAGGAGTATAAATCACACCAGCCAAAAAATGCATAATGAACAAGACAAAAAAAAACAAACAAACAAAAAACATATACGTTGCACCAGCCAGCTAGAGTGCCCTCTAGCGGCTGTCAGTGTGACAATAACAAACATGTACATTTTCAGTGGTACAGGAGTAGCAGATACTGGTGAAATTATATGTGAAAAAAAAATGTAAATGTGAAATTATATATAATATATATTTATATATTATTCGCACCTGAGTATATGTTGCAAAGGATGAAAAAGTCCAGAAAATGCAGTAGTTCTTTTTTGCGCAAGACATACTCCATATAGTAAATTTAGATTGTCTCATCAGCCTAAACCCCTAATGGACATGTTTTTGTGATTAATGAAAGAAACGCATAAGTTTTTGGTTTTTTTTTTAATTTTGTTCAATAGTTTTACTTCTATTTTGTTTATATGCTAAACTGTAAGCCTTCTGAATAAAGCCAGTGAATATGTGTCACTGTGTTTTTCTGTCTGCAGATGTACTGTATCGACATGAGTATGCAGCGAGACATCATGGCAACCTTTGAGCTCAACCTGGACTAAAACAAACAGAAAAAGATCTGTTCTCATTTGGCAGAAGAAAAAGCACCGAGAGTCTTCATTCAAAATAAAAAAATAAATAAAAAATAAGAGAAATTTCAAATAGTGTGGGGAAAATGTTATTAGATGTATACAGTAATTCACTCTGGAGTGTAGGGTAATTGGGGGTTTAATTTTTTTCTTTGTTTTGTTTGACCACACAAACATGGATGACTCATATGACTGCTGACACATTAGCAATTAAAAAATCTCATACCCTCCTATGTTTGCTTGTATTGGACCAATCCTAGAACCATTCGAAAAAACAAATTCTCGTATGTTTCTAATGTCTGCCAGCCGTACAGTGTAGCCCTACAAAGTCCCGAATAAGGAGGAGGAATTTCACGGGAGTCCGAATCCACTGCTACTCCGTTTAATCTCGTAGTGTTTAAAACACTTTATCATTGGATTCACAACATGTGCATGTTATGAAACGGACAGTTTTTCCCCACACTTAAGAATGTGTTAATCGTTCCAGTTTGAAATTATTGTGTTAAAGTTGGCCTCGCGTGTTTGTTTTAGTCACCTCCTTTAAAGTGCTATTCACTGTGTGTTCTTATCAGCTACGCTTTGACCGAGACTGAACGTTTATACCTCAGGTTGGTCCTAGTCTAATAGACACCCACAGCACAGAGAATCACTACTTCAAATCAGAGTTCGGTACAGGGGTACTGATTGTCTTCAACCAACCCAGTGCTTTGAAAACACAAAAGTACTTTGTTAATGTGTAAAATGAAATCTTTAAAAAAAAACGTCTTTGGAATTATTTCTTTACTAATGTTCCGAATGTGAAAAAAAAAATACTGTTTTGTTGTCAGAAAGTACTGCAATGTGTTCTTTTTTTTTTTTTTCTTTTTACCATTTTTGAATTCCTGGGAGTATATGTTTAAATACCCTCTCATAAATAATTGTCTTTCACTCTTTACTCCAATTAATAAAGATGTGGTCACAAAGAAACTTCATCTGTCATTAGTGCTTCTAGTACTTAAAAGGTTTTCATTGTCAGCCTAGTGCCGCCAGGACCCGTATGGACAATAACCTACTATGTTAACCCTCTAAAACGGTGATTCCAACCAATGAGCAGGAGGACATAGTGTGCCGTGAGAGTTCATCAAGTGTACTATCCGATTTCAAGTAATTGATTTTTATTTATTTATTACGTGCTCATTTTTTTGTCTGTGTTCATGCCTGTTAGTGACAAGAAAAACAATGAAATACTCCACTAGATGGCAGCAAATGACGGCTTTTGGAGATCTGTTTTGTTTCGAACACGGCATGAAAAAACTTAACTTCTAACCTGAGGAAATGTGTTGCAGTAAGTTTGACCTAAACATTTTTTTTTATTTTTGAAATATTTATTTTTTTGGAACTCTTTTGTTTATTATTTGATTGATTTTTATTTTTATTGAATTTACCTAAAGATTTTAAGGTATTCGGTTAATTTGTTTTGTTATTTCATTGATAGGATAAACTCTCCTCTCTGTAATTTTGTCTAGCTGATTGAATGCTCGTTAAAAAATAAATCAGATGTTACTCAACAGTTCTACTCAGTACTTGAATAGTTTTTTTTTTCACCAAGTACTTTTTTACTCTTACTCAAGTAATTATTTGGATGACTGCTTTTTACTTCTACTTCTTCTTTTCCTTTGGGCTTGTCCCCTTTTCAGGGGTTGCACACAGCGAATCATCGTTTTCCATTTCACCATGTTCTCTGCATCTGCAACATCATAGTCCATGGGGACTCCTGTCTGACCTCATCTGTCAATCTGTCCATCACCACAGCAAACAAGAAGGGGCTCAGCGCCGATCCTTGATGTAGTCCCACCTCCACCTTGAAGTCTTCTGTCCTCCCAACAGCACACCTCACCACTGTTGTACTATTCTCATACATGTCCTGCACCAAACTAACATACTTCTCTGCCACTCCTGACTTTCTCATACAATCATCTTCCTTCCTGTAGTCTTCACAACATGTCTCTTTCCTTAATTTCCACCACTTGATCTCCTGCTCTGTCTTCACTCTCTTCCTTTTTTTTCACCTCCATTGTCATCTTTCACACTACCATGCAATGTTGTTTGGCTACACTCTCGCCTGCCACCACCTTACAGTCTCTAATCTCCCTCAGATTACATCTTCTACATAGAATATAATCTATCTGTGTGGACCTGCCTCAACCCTTGTATGTCACCCTGTGTTCCTCTTTCTTTTGGAAACCTGCCCATCACTTCCTCATCTCCTCTGTTCCCTTCCTCTACATGACCATTGAAGTCTGGGTTCTCCAATCTCTGTCTGACTCCACCTCCACATTCCACCACAGTTCTTGCATATTCTTCCTTTAGGATCCGTTTCTCTTCCCATCTAGACCATGGTAAAACAGTTTCCAACGTTTCTAGCCTTGCTGCCCTTCCATCTACATTCAGAGTTCCAAACTCAGTAGTGCAATTTCTACCAGTACCCTGTAGGTAGGTCAGCGGCACTGTTGGCGGTCGTTGTTAACCCGGGCCCCGACCGATCCAGTATGGAAATCATTTTTGTGATACGCATATTTGATTTGGCTAGAAGTTTTACACCGGATGCCCTTCATGACGCAACCCTCACCATTTCCGGCATTTTAGAAATACTGGCTTGTGTACCCTAGTGGCTGGTTATTTATTATTTATTTATTTATTATTACTTCTACTTGAGTAATATTATTCTGAAGTAACACTACGTTTACTTGAGTACAATTTTTTGGCTACTCTACCCACCTCTGATTAGTACGTTTTTCTGCAATTGATTATTATGTATTCAAGTTACAAATATTGTACAATGCTCTGTGTAACAAAGAAAAGTAATTTATCGAGTCAAGAACCTTAGCAGCATGGACTTTATTATAAGGCAATCCAACACTTTTTAAGCTCCTGCAGGCCACACAAAATGACTCGGCGGGCTGCATTTGGGCCACGGGCCTTGAATTTGACACTTGCTAAACGTCAAAGATGAGAGTATAAACCGCATGTTGGTTGTGACTGCACAATTTAGTATACAACAGGTTAGGTTGTCAGAAGAAAATATTAATTTATGAACAAGCTTAAGTGGCTAAACAGATTGTAGAAATAAAGGATCAAGGATTATGATTAAAACATATTTACTGTTATGGTTTTTTTTTTATTGCTTTCCGATTCATGATTCGATACATTTTCTAAATTACTCTCTGTACATAGTGTTCAATATTAAGGCTACACGCCGTGCATATACAGCTTGTGTGGTTATGAGCAACAACAACGTCAACAACCTGCAAGGACGCACGCACGCGCGAAGTGTGATGCGAGTCTTATTCAGCAGCAGCAGCAGCAGCGGCGGCAGCATTGTGTGGGAATCGTCCCTTCACGCCACAGTCGTGCGGATGCGTCGGGGGAAAGAGCGCGTTCATGAAAAAGAGTCCGTAAGCTGTGATTGATTTCTAGGATGTAAACATGGCTAGAATGTTCCAGAGCCTTCTGGTGTTTACGGGAAGAGTCGCGCACGGCGTCAGAGTCGCAGGCTTCTGGTCACTGATATACGGTTACTGTTTGCTCTGCAGCCTGGTGGCGCTATTTAAACTTTGGTGGAGCCTCGTCCTTAGGCCGACCACCACCTTACAGTGGCACGTCCGTGACTGTCCCCCCGCATGTCTGTGTGACACGTCCTTGGGAACCCACTGCTATGTACGGATCAAGGTAAGACAACAAAATGTGACACGTTGTCGTTAACAACGAGGACGGCTGCGGTTCTTGTGTGTGGGTGTTTTTGTGTTTGTATGTTTGTGTTTTAACACTTACGACCATATTGTGTTTGTTAAAAAAAAATATTTTGAAGAATTTCACGTGTCTGTCTTTGCTACATCGTTCTACTCGCGTCAAATTAAACAACGACTATTTGGTTGGACGTAAGTAAAATTTTGTTATGGAAATGTACACGTAGAGTTAATAAAATGTTTTTATGAGGGTGAATAGCTGGATTGAAATGACCAAAATTAAACTGAACACGACTTCCGGCGTAGATGGAAAACAAGTGAACTTCTGAGTGTTGGTAAATAAAATGTTTGAATGTACAAATTAGCAAATAAATGCTAATTTATTAGTATAAATAATACATTTTTTATACTAATAATTTAAATAAATATATATATAATAGTAAATGAAATGTTTGAATGTACAAATTAGCAAATAAATGCTATCACAACATCACACAATATCACAACAAGCTTGCTCTGCTGCCACCTACTGACTGGAGGCTTGTTTATCATTCAAGTGTGAATAAAGGCTGTATACTAAAAGGGTCCCTCTCTCGCCCCCTGGTGACACCTGGTGCGCACCCCAATATTTGAAAAGCCCTGATGTGATATAGTGTGCACTTTCGGGGTTCAAATACTTTGCTAGAACTAAGCTATGAACTTGATCACTTTTTTTTTAGATTTTGCCCCAAACTCTTATTTAAAGTGTCATTCTGTATATGATTCTGATGACAATATGTTGTGGTGTAAAAATAGTGCAAGGACCTCTTGGTTCTACAGATTGCTTTGTTCTCTTAAGTGTTAAACATGCATGCAGCCCATAAGCCCCATTATCTTTGAGAATTGTTGTTAACGTTCCACCTCTTTATTTCTACGCTGCTTCCCTCAGGAGTCTGGCCTTAGGTTTCACTATGTCGCAGCTGGAGAGAGGGGAAAGCCTCTCCTGCTGTTTTTGCACGGCTTCCCTGAATTCTGGTAGGTGTAAAGAAGAGCAAGAAGTCAGTAAAAACATCACTCCTCTTTTGTAATTAAATGTTAATCATTCCTGACATAAAGTGAGACCCTTAACGCAATTGGTGACAGCAGAGCCTGACACGAAGTCAAGGATAAATGATTGGCTGCGTTGCATAAATGAACCATTTCGTATTATTGGCTTGACACCTGTCACTCAGTAAGATCACATCATTACGTTATTTTTCAGATCAATGGCTAATAAAATGAATACCTACAACACGGGTTATGTTGAATTCTATTTTATGACTCTAATGACCGTTACAATTAAAAAAAAATAATTACAGTAGTATGTGCAGGAGAAAGAGGAAGAGGATGAATGCGCGTATGTATCGTTCCTGCTACGGCATTCCACGAAGATTTATGGACATCAGTAAGCGATTGTTCGTATCTACGTCGTATCTAAGTCGTATCGTGGGGTACTGCTGTACTCTCAGACAAGCCCGCGCTGGCATGCGTCATCATAAATTTCTGTTTTGGCTGTGTTGTATTGGCAATAAAAGTCTTTCGGCTGAAAAACTAAAATGCACATTAAGGCCATTTTTGGCCGAAAATGTTTGTGGCTGAAAATTCAGTGCATCCCTCAATATTTTGTCCAAACATTCTGCATCCCATCTGTACTGAACAGGCCCACCCGTCAAATGTTAAATTTTGGCCCATGACCCAAATGTTTGCCCGCAACTAATCCCTAACTAAACTAAAACATAAACTTAACCTTTACCCATTTTAGCTTTAGGGTTTTTGTTACCCATTTTTAGGTTTAACCCTTAAGGTTAGGGTTTGTTTGAGTGTCTAGTTTATTCAAAATCACCATTTCACCTGTGTCTAACCTGTCTTACCTTGTTTTAAGTAACCAAAGTTTATCTAACACAATGTAATGTAATGTAACGAAACATAACCTAACCTAACCCAACCCATTCCATTCCATCCAAACCAAATCTAACCTAACCCTAACCTTACCTAAAGCCAGTTCTTACCTACAATTTGTAACTACTCACAAGCCACCAGCAACAGACAAGAGACATTTGAGACAAAGGTTAACAGGACTTTTTGTATCCATCAGGTTCTCGTGGCGCTACCAGCTTCGTGAGTTTAAGACTGAATACAGAGTGGTTGCCATTGATATGCGAGGCTACGGGGAGTCTGACCTGCCTCTCTCGACTGACAGTTACCGCCTTGAGTTCTTGGTCACTGATGTCAGGGACATTGTGGAGTACTTAGGTAAAATAAGACAGGAGAGCTGCTCGTCTGTACCTTCTCTTCTCTTTTTCTTTCTTTGAGGATGATAGGTAATTCTTATACTACAGTCATGTTGGGTTCAAAAATGATACGTAACAGCAACAGCATAGTGGCATGCCAAAATGCCTGTGAGGTGCCAAACAAATGGCCCGCAGGCCAAAAGCCCGGGCTCACTCGGGGTTAAATCCGGCCCTCTTGATGAATTTTGAAAATTAAAAAAATACACAAGCACTTCATGTTCAGGATATGATTAGATACATTTCAATAAAAATCTAAGTTTAATCTAAAATAATTGTACTTCTTTGCATGAAAACAAAGGGGACAAACAGTGACTCATTCCTATTTTTAAGTAATTGTTATAATTGTAGTCCATATGAGTTTGACCCTTTGTCCCTGATCT